CTACACATGCTGGCATGCACAACTACACAGAACACAATACATGTAACGTCATGTACAAATGCATTGAGGATGAATTACTCTCAACACGACAAATAAGTCAAGTCAGTAAAATTCAGGAAGCGCAGAATGGCTTCCGGGTCTCCCGACATGCCGTGCAGCACACCGTGCACGTTTGTGCTGCAAGTTTGACAATGAAAACAGATAAAAATGTGGACTGAGATTTATGATCAAGTTGCCCACATCCGGTGCCCTGTGCATTAACATCAGCTATCTCTGTTTCCTCCAGATAAAAATATTCAAAATTTCCAGTCACCGGTCTTCAATGACCATTTCCATTTGGAATAATTAGTCCTCGCGGCTCAACAAAAAGGAAAAAAATAGAGAAACACCAGAAGATCCCCTTTCCCCAAATCAAACATGTTGGTGAGATGTGTCCATTTTCATGTAAAATTAATAGATCACAATGTCTTTCACTCCATCCATTGCTGTTACCGGAGGCTCCTGACTTTGTAGAAGTGCATGGTCACATATTGTGTGCATAAATATAGACTATTAATCAAGAAAAACCAAACCTTGCCTCAACTACTCTGCAACTCACCGATTGCACTAAATCAACGACAGCTAGTGGTTCAGTCATTTCACATTTGCCCTAAACATTCTCTTGACTTTCTTGCTTTCCTGTCTCATGGTTTGTTTTGTTTGTTTGTTTGTTTTGTTGCTTATTACATGTTCATGATTGTGTCTGGGTTTGGGGTGAGGATAGTGGCATGTTATTCAAGAGGGCTTTAAGGGACATGAAAGGGCTGAATGCATTTAGACAGCCAGATCACTCGGCCTGGCCCTGATGCTGCTGCTCTTGCTGGCCCGACTGAGCCGCCGAGGGTCTGTGCTGACCATTACCGGAGGCTCGTGCATCTCCACTGTGGTGGTGACGTGGCCTTCGTCGTGCTCGCTCTTTCCTCCATCCCAGCTGCCTGCGTTGGAGGCGTCGCCAGGGCTGCTGCCGCTGGAGGCAGCGTTGGCAGTCGCGTTGGTGATGTTGGTGTTACTGGTGGTGTTGCTGGTGGGTAGGAGCAGAGCACCATTGACGCTTTGGTGCTGCTCATTGTCGCTGCTGGTGGCAGAACAAGAAGAGGAAGGTGGAGGGGAGGTGGCCTTCATCTCCCGAGTCTGCTGCTCGGTTGCCAGGTTGGCCCAGTTCTGCTGTGTGGCCAGCCTGTGGTTGTTGTTGTTGCTGATATAGTAGTGGGAAGAGGGGGAGGATTGGAGGGACTCCTCCTGCTGAAGGTCGTCCATCTTGAACTCTGCGGCCGAGGGCACGGCGGCTGGACCCATGGGCGGCAGGAACGCCCCGCTGCCCGCCGTCACATCTGTGTAGTTGGGAGGGTAGCTGGGGCTGGATGGGGCAGTTCTGGAGGCCGAGGCCAAACACTCAGGCTCTGCAATGTCGACGCGGCGCAGCGACTCACGTTCGGGGGCATACTCATTGGTCATGCCCTGTTTAACTTTCTTCCATCCAAGGTGATAGATCTCTAACAAATTCAGCAAAAGAGACACGCAAGCCACCACAAGCATAAATATAATAAAAATAGTCTTTTCAGTGGGCCTCGATATGAAGCAGTCAACGGTGTTGGGGCAGGGCCAACGTGCACACTTGTACAGGGGCCTCAGCTGGAAGCCATAGAGAAAATACTGGCCCAAAATGAATCCCACTTCAAACAGGGTCTTGAAAATAATGTTGAACACATAGGTACGCAGCAACGCGCCTCTGATACGGATTTTGCCATGTTCGTCCCTGATTGGCGGCTTCTCCTTTTTGCCGCCTCCTCCTCCTCCAACATCGCCACCATTTCTATACAGGAGTTCTTTCTCCTCTTGGAGCCTGTTTGCCTTGCGCATCTCCTCCTCCTTTTCTTTCCGCTTTTCCTCCATGCGGACGATGTGCAGCACGTGGCCCAGGTATATGAGGGTTGGCGTGGACACGAAGATGATCTGCAGCACCCAGAAGCGGATGTGCGAGATGGGGAAGGCCTCGTCATAGCAGACGTTCTCACATCCGGGCTGCTGGGTGTTACACGTGAAGTCGGACTGCTCGTCACCCCAGACCTCTTCGGCCGCAGCCCCCAGCACCAGGATCCTGAAGATGAAGAGGACAGTCAGCCAGACTTTGCCGATGACCGTTGAGTGCTCCTGAGCATTCTCCAACAGCCGCCCCAGAAAGCTCCAGTCGCCCATGCTTCAAGAATTAGCCTATGGAGAAAGTACAGGCTGGAGTGGGGAAAAGGAAAGGGGCGCCAAATAGCAAAAAGAGGAGAAATAAGCAGAGAGAGTGGAAGTTAAAGAGGTGCTTAGGATTTTTAGAACAGCTTAACATTTGTCAGTGCAACAGGTGTCAAGGGCTTACCCTCACATTTAAAACACTGCACATGCAATCAGAGAAGAGGATGCAAGGACGTGGAGCAAAGCTTGACATTTTGTTTTGTAAGCACTTAGCAGAAAGTGGTCCTTAAAGAAATCTGCCAGTTCAGACATCACAAATAGATAACAGATCAATAGCAGCTGCTTCTTAGCAGCTCATATACCATATAGGCCACCTCTGTCACTGAACCCTGGTTCACTCCCTTTCTCTCTCTCGTTCTCTCTCACCTGCTCGCTCCACTGCACAGCAGGCATGTGCTGAGATCAACATTATGATGTTCGAAAACAGAGATGGGGTCTAGTAGGGTGCGCACACACACACACTCAAAAACTGACATCGTCTACACACATCCTACACACCATCGTCCCTCACTCTCTCTAATGCAACTGTAATAATAAAACCACCAGAATGAAAAGAGATTTTAAAAAATAAAATGATTAAGTCTAGTATAATATCTGTGTGATATATTATGGTAAATTACAGATTATTTTTAACTCAAAAACTTTAAAAAGGGAAGAAAGCAGTGATTTATATTATTTATTCTCTGGTTAATCACAATTATTTGCTTATGTATTAGAAAATAGCTGGTATATTTCCCCAGTCCTAACCCGACGCCTTTACCAAGCAGCACCACATCCTCACATCGTTAAAGCTTTTGGGTTTGGCTCTTTTGCTTGATAAAGCGTTAAGCTGCTTAAGTTTCAAACTACATTTTAATATTGAAGTATAGCGAATTCAGATGCAGAGACTAGCTTATTAAAGACAAACACGTGGCCTTTTAGACAGTGTTGTGTACACTGAACCCTAATCATGCAAGATATTCAGCGTAAACGCGCACACACACACACACACACACACACACACACACACACACACACACACACACACACACACACTCATTTGAGGGTAAACTTACTAAAATATTCTTGTATTAAAGGTAATAAATCCATCGACTAGGGTTCACAATATGTATGACACCTAGAAGAGAGGAAAAAACAACATGTTAACTTTCACAAGACTTTGTAAGAAATACATTAAAATAAATCTTCTGGTGGAAAATTAAAACACTGCTGGCTGTTTCAGAAAACGGTCAGGCTCTTTGAACACTGTTTCCATTTATCTGACATCAATATAAACTTATTGGGGGAAACTGCAGCAGTTACACCCAGAGAATCAGAAAGTCGTGCTTTCCATTTGTGACCTTGTGATGACTTATTAGTGACAAACCCGCAAAAACTTGAAAGAATAATAAAACCTCACTCCCCTCAGCTCCACAGCTACTTGTGGCATTTGTGTCAGATGGTGAAGAATGTAACAGACGGGTTCAAATACAAAGCCCTACCTGCCAGAGTGACAATGCAGAGTGTGCCAGAGTCCCCAGACTCCTTTTAAGCTTTGACAGCCTTTTTGTTCCCCCCTTGTTCGGTAAAACTGAAGCAACTCTTAATTACCTGATAACATGCCGTTCTTCATTTACTGTACTCCCTTTTTAGTGCAAGAAAATAGCCACGGTGGTGTTTATCCGTCATACCTTTAAAGCGGAGATGTCATACTTAAACACGAAACGCAAATCCATCTGCCATCATTGGTGCCATCACTGGAGTGCGTTGAAAAGCGGTGTGGACCTCCCGCGGCTGAAGCGACCCTCCCTCTGTGTCCCTGATCCACCCCCCACCCACACTCAACTTGTCACTTCTCTGACAGCTCGACAAACTTTTTTTTTCCTCACGTTTTTTTTTAATGCGGGCCTCACAACCTCGTTCATGCACAAACTTCTGTTACTTTGCGCAAGGGAAACTTTTTTCTTTCTTGTTGTTAGTTTCTGGAGGAGGCTCGGAGTCGGAGAGATGAGGCTCGGTTAAACGGAGCTACCGCTCATTTCCAGCCATGACTGGGCTGTCACATTGCGTGACCATCCATGAGTGAATCCACAGAGTCATCAGCCTCTCCGGCCACACCACGCCCCTGCCAACCTCCCCAAAACCGTGCGCAAAAAGTTGCCAAAAGTTTAGAAACATTCCCAAATTATGACCCCCGGGTGCTAAAAATAGTAATAGTTACTCATTTTAGGAGGCAGGCAACATTAAATAGCCGCGAGGTCTTTAAAAGGCCGATCCTGTGGACACACTACAATCTGTCCAAGTCAAACGTTACTTAATAAAAACCTGATATGTGGTTATAAAGAGCAAAATGTGGAGGAGAAGACAGAGAGTGTAAGGCAAGACGATTCTGTCCCAGTGTGGGAAAAAAATTCCCCACTTATCCCAAATTTCAGTAAAGTAAATAAAACTGCACATAAATGATAATGCACACAGGTCTGTTTTTACCGATTTATTTAAATAAAAAAAGTCTCATAGAGCAAAACAAGTTGAAGGATCAAAGTGCAAGTGAAATAATAATAATAAAAAAATGTCAGATTTAATCATTTCTTCTTAGAAAGCTGTTTGCTCATTAGTGTGCAGTTTGCTTTTAAAGGCAGACTAATAGAAACTGTATTATTAATAATAATAATAATAATAATAACAACAACAACATGTTGAAATAGGAATAATCAGGATTATCCCATAAAAACAAGAGGAAGTACATCGCTGTTATAAAAAAAAAAGTAGCATCAGAAAATGTCATTAGGCTTGTTACAGAAAGCTAGAAGTCAAAGGTCAGTGCAGAGCAGGCACACAGACTAGTTTTGGTCCCAGCTGCATCACTTATGTAACATCAGTATACAGCTCACTGTGGTTTCTTTTTAATTATGGTGGAATCGACACGTCTAACCAACACTTTGGAACAGTCTGACTGATCCCGCTTGGCTATTCCTGGATGGAAGAAGGACAAAGACATTTTCACGGCCACGGTGCCTAGCAGTGATTAGTCTGGTGGCTAAAATAAGGCACATGCTGAAAGCTGATACAGCCAGCTGGGGTCAGTACACACTGCAAGAAAAACAATGCAAGTTCAAATAACACAGGAGCAGATCTGGGGCTGAGCGACTTCTGGTGTTTCCAAAAAAGCAGGATTGGAAGTCACAAGGTGAATGAGGAGGAACCCTATCTGAATGTGAAATGGTCAAAGTAAATTAAACCTACACCCTATAAACTTGAAAAACATGAAATCCTAACACCTAAAAGAGTACACAGTATCATAACTCCTGTGTCACGTCACTGGTTTCAGCCTTCTTTTACATTAGATCCAGTCTGGAATTCAGTTTCACAGAAAAGAATTCACATGTGTGCAGCATGATCTGTTCAGGGGGATTCTTGAACTTGCTGGCAGTAGATGAAAAACCATCTGATACAGTACAAACATATACGTTCTTCATATTTTTGAATGAAATGGTATGCACGTGTGAAATCTTTTGTCGTCTAACACATGTAAAGAAACATTTACAACCCCCCCAAAAAAGAACCTATGAAGTTGATCAAACAGCGAAGATCAGTGATTTCATTCTAAAACAGAAAAATCAGACTTGTTCATTAAGCGTAATCACATCAGGTACTGTGAACTTAAAATCAATCTCATCAGCTAAAAGCTAAACATACTCTGCTTCTCTTCTCAAAACTTCATTTGTTCTCCTCGGATAAATCGATCACTCAGGCTGTTGTGAAGGCGTTTGTGCTCGTTAAGGGTCCACTGTCACCACTAGATGTCAGTGTAGGCTCATTTTTCAGGCAGATTTCGCCACGTTCAAGCAAATTTCAACTGTGGACAGTGAAATGGTTGCAACCACTCAGTGTTTGACACTTGTTTTACTCTTTACGTTACTATCTGGCAATGTGTTTGTTCGGAGAACTCCGTCAGGTCTTTACAGTCAACCCCAACTATACAGATCCAAAGCTGTTTCACTATCTCGTGAGACAAATCCCAGTAACCAAGACGTAGACACAACTCGTGAGGTTGGATTTACAGTATACACCTTTCTCTTGTCTCTAACACATGGTCTTGTTGCTGGATGAATCTGTGGAAGAAGACAGCAGCATTTCATTCTTCTTGTTATCCCGTGTCACGCTGTCTGGGTAAGTGTGTTTCCTCCTGCTGGACCTTGTCATGCATCTCATGACCGCCTTTACAATGAGGTAGAAGAGCTCGGCCACATTCAGCACCATGCAGATGGCAGATGAAGCCACCATGAAGATGGTGAAGACGGTCTTTTCAGTTGGCCTGGAGATGAAACAGTCCACCTTGTTGGGGCAAGGCCACTGCTCGCACTTCACCAGCCGGGGCATCTGGAAGCCGTCGTAGACAAAGTAGAGCGCATACATAAACCCCCCCTCAAAGATGAGCCGGAAAAACAAGCTGCAGGTGTAGGTCCACCACAGAGTGCCTGTAATGGGCAGACGCCTCCTCTTTAGCGTCTGCAGCTCAGTATCTGTCATCTTTTCAGTGCCATTGGAGGCCAGCATGTTCCTCTTATCACCCCGTTTTCTGTAGGCGACGTGCATGGCCACCAGCAGGGCCGGCGTGGATACAAAGATCAGCTGCAGGCACCACAGGCGGATGTGCGACACGGGGAAGAAGTGGTCGTAGCAGACGTTTTTGCAGCCGGGCTGCTGCGTGTTGCACGTAAAGTCTGACTGCTCGTCCCCCCAGACGCTCTCCGCAGCCAGGACCAGAATCGTGATGCGGAAGATGAAAAGGACAGAAAGCCAGATCTTCCCCAGGCTGGTGGAGTGCTTGTTGACGCCACCTAGCTGGGCGTAGAGAGCCCCCCAACTCATTGCGGCCAAAAGGAGTCCGGAAGCTGAGACAACCTGTGGAATTCAGCAGAAAGTTAAAAGGCTAGAAAAGTGCTGGAGAAATACACCTGCTGGAGGCCTTGTTTTATGGCATATTTATGTTGTTAAAAAGGTGCGAGTGTGTGTGTAATTAGAAAATTATCATTATTTTTCAGATGCATATATTGTGGATGACTTGTGGGATTTTAAATAATTTTTAAAGGGCTGAAAGGTTACATTTCTGGCTACACACGACAAGGTGTATAACAGAGTTGGCATTACAGAGTCAAAAAGCGGACGGGAAAGCAAACTGTATGGATCTATGGTTTTAATGCAATTAAAGGGCATTTTGGCAGCCAAATAATGTTGCAAGCAAAATGAAAAAATATGTATTTGTAGTTTTAAAAAAATAATATTTTTTCCACAAAAATCTAAAAATACACAACCACTCGTTTCCCTGAAAATAAGAGCCTCAAACTCATTCTGACAGTATACAGAAAAGTATTGGGAAGACCAGCGTCTACCTCAGACTAACGTCTGCCAGCTTAAACCAACTGCACTCAGACTGAAGGGGCCCACAGGTTAAATAAGCAGCTGCATTCAAGGAGCTAACACTTTAAAATGTCTAAATTCGACACATTATTTCTAAAATATATTTTCACTTTTTTGTGGTGGCATTAGCAGATTGAATTGAAATTAAACTCACCTGTTTTTGTGGAGTTTATCCTAAACAGATTTTTTTAAGCTTCCACCAAGCTGGGGAAACAATCAGTCCTGTTCTCTTCTGTGCGTCTCAGTAGAATCGGTTTGGGACAGACTCGACTTGTCTTGTCTATAAGTAGTGAGTGAGGCGCACACCGATTATCCATCATCCCTCCTGCAAACTGGGAGGGAGGGGCCAAGCTCGAGGTGGGGCCAACCAGCAGGGTTATTAGTCTCTAATTAAATTTTATGCACGCATTTAATGTTAATGTGACTTCACCTAATAATAACAAAAGGGAGCCCTCCGCCGCCCACACACACATACATATATATATATATAAATAATATTTACAATATAAATACAATATTTCAGTTTATAGAGCCACAAACCTGCACTAGAACACCCAGAGTGTGATGTATGGTTGTCACTATTGGACCTATATCAGTGTGAAATTTAAATCTTTCACAGCCCTCCTGATGTGTTTCCTTATGATTTGGGAACTTACCCGTCACAATTATGCGAGCACATGGTGGCAGTCAGCTGAGAGCACTCAGCCCAGAAATATGTAGTGAAATGTCATTATTTAATTTCTCCTCATTATCAGGATCACAAAAACACTCATCTCTTTCTGTTGTGTGGCTATCAAAACAATTACATAAATGCGTTATTGTGTTCTTTTTTATTAATCAAAACACTGATTCACATTTTCAAGAAATTTGTTTACACAAGAGACCATTAATGTGGCTGAATGAGATCATTGTTTTTCACATTTTACCACAGTCGGTTTTGTAACCAAGATGTAGAGTAAAAGTTAAAACGTGCTGTAGATTTAGAAAAAACAAAAGACCGGTTAAAATTGTGTTCATAAGGAGTAGCAATCCAGAGTTATGTTCTAATACTGCTAGTACTCATCATATAAGGAAGATTGATCATTACTCATTTTAAAAAAGTGCTGTTTTTCAGTCAAGGTATGCCTGTTTAAAGAAAAGAAGGTCTTCATTACATGTTGAACTCAACAATCACATTTCTACCTAATTAAGTTGTTTTTCTTGAGTTTGGACCCTGAGCTTATTAGTCCTTCTTCAGCTTGGCCAGACGCATGAGGAACTGGTCCCTCCTCTCCTGCCTGGCTGCCAGATGCTGCTGGTCGCAGGGAATGAGCTCGTACATCTCCTGTGGACGGCACAGAAGGAAAAGCTAGGTGAGCAAAGTGGAGTGGTTGCCATCTAGGACTTCGGACATGTCTAGTGGGGGAAATAACTATTTGCTCAATTGCTGAATTTGTACGTTTGCTCACTGAGAAAAAATGAACAGTCTCTAATTTTTAACAGTAGGTTCATTTTAAAATAAAGCTTCTCAGCCGTAAAGCTAAACTAAATATCCTTTTGGGGCGATCGTGGCTCAATAGTTGGGAGTTCGCCTTGTAATCGGAAGGTTGCTGGTTCGAGCCCCGGCTCCGACAGTCTCGGTCTTTGTGTCCTTGGGCAAGACACTTCACCCGTTGCCTACTGGTGTTGGTCAGAGGGCCCAGTGGCGCCAGTATCCGGCAGCCTCGCCTCTGTCAGTGCGCCCCAGGGTGGCTGTGGCTACAATGTAGCTTGCCATCACCTGTGTGTGAATGTGTGTGTGAACGGGTGGATGACTGAATGTGTAAAGTGCTTTGGGGTCCTTAGGGACTAGTAAAGCGCTATACAAATACAGGCCATTTATCATAATCTTTTAATAACGTCTTAGCTTTGAAACAGTGACATCCAGGGCCGACACTTGCACAGATCAATGTGCATGCAGTGCTGCCCTTGTTCTCGTGATCACAGAAGGCAAACGAGTCCACCTTAAACTATTTAATGCTCCAGCTCAGGGTGTCCTTACAAGATGACCTTCTGTGGCTAACATATTAACCGCCTGTGACAGCATGTGACCAATTAATTTCTACTTAGGAGAAAGCTTTATGGCTCAGAGGTGAGTAGAAACTGCTGAATTTCAGTCATCCAGAACTAAACACACAATAAATAATGAAGAAAATAATAAATTAAGATATGTATATTAATATAGACATTCCGTGTCTTTGATCTGAATTAACACACATTTTTTTATTTATTTAAAAAAATTTTGGGAGCCTATTGAATACTGAATTGCTCTTTGGGGGCTCAGGTGGCACTTTATTAAAACACTGCAAGGTCTCAAGAACACCCCTGAAAAACAAGGACCCTCTTTTTCACTGTATCGAAACACTAACCAGATATTATGGTCCATACTGACATGACAGCATCACACAATTACTGCAGATTGTCAGCAGCACATCTATCTATGTCCCCTTTTACCACATCCCACAGGTCTTCTCTTGGATTGAGATCTGGTGACTGTGGAGGTCATTTAAGCACAGTGAACTCAATGTCATGTTCAAGAAACCAGCTTGAGATGATCTGAGCTTTGTGACATGCTGGAAAACCAAATTCTGATGCTGCAGCACGCAAAATCTAGAAATTTAGACAGCTTCTCTGGTCCAAGGCGGAAAAGTGCTCCTTGAACCAAAAACTGAAATACTTTTTGGAAATCACAGACACTAAATTCTGTGTAGTTTAAGAGAAAAATAACAATTTAAGAACACACACATAATCAAAACCTGCTGGTGTGCATAACATCTGTGAAGGCACCATTAATGCTTAATGATACATACAGATAATGGAGAAACATTTCCTGCCATTCACATGTCGTTTGCATCAAATGTCTTGCTTTGCTTATTTCTCATATATATATATATATATACACACTACATCATAAGTGAGTGTATTTATTGAGAGAAAGTTTCACTGTAAACACAACTCTGTAACCATCACACTTACATTAATGACGCTCTTGGCTGCTTCACCACAGAAGTCTGGCACAGGCCCAAAGGAAGACAGAATCCTTGTTATATTTTCACTATATCGGCTCATGTAGTCTTCCAAACCTGCGGGGAGGACACAGCTGTTCAGTGATGGGGAAGTCCATGTCGATCATCATTCAAAACAATGAATGTAGATCATCTTTATTTAAAATACCACAAAGATTCAAAGACAGTAATGTCACACAAAGTGAAAGTGATGTAATTGCAAACAGAAAAAGAAACATGTATTTCTAGATTGTGAGGGGATGGGCATAGGTGCGGCTGCGGTGCCAACTGGCAATTTGTTTTTGTCTAAATGCTTTCCTTCTGCTGGTTTGAACGTTTGACACATGCTTGATATTTTGAGAAATGGCTCATGCTAGCTCCTCTATATTTCTGTGTTCATTTGCAGGGCTGCTATCTCAGTGCTTCAGAACCAGTAATATTAAGTAATGAGTTTCCTCTTTCTCAATGTTAAATATCTCATAAATAACAGTTAGATCCTGCTTTGACACTTTCTGTGTTAATTTAACTTTTAGCGCTGTTCGTTGAAGCTGTTCTCTCATTTATTAACCTATAGTGACTCATTTGTGATGTAGGCAGACCGCATTTTGGCTAATCACTGACTGACTTGTCGTGAAAGTTTAAAATAAATGGGTTTGTGAAGCCTGCTACTACAAGCTTCAGTTTAATAGTGTATTTATAAGGACTGGGTAGTATCCAGTATGCTACATGTGTGTATATGCCAGTGGAAATGTCTAACACCAGTCCCTTGTTGAGCGTTATTACACGTTGTTGTTTAAAGTGGATTGCTATGCTCATTTGCAGCTCCACAATCTTATTCTTGGACTCTATTAGAACAGCTTTGCATGTTTCACAGTTCTAAATAATGCTATTTTACTAGGCCTTGGTGCACTTGAGGTTCAGCCAATGTGAGAAATAATCTATTTAACCTCATTTCCACCTCCCTTTAAGCTTTCTTCTGATTGAAGATCAGAAGATTTACTGAGTGAGGTTTCTGTGCTTAAAGCCTGTAAAAATCTACGAAACAAAGCACTCAGGGCAATAGCGAACGTTTAGTAGCTACTAAGTGTGATGATGAAAGTTCTGGACAGAGAAACAGAAAAGTTTGCAGGTTTTGTAAGGGACGTTTCGTACTTCAACTATACATTACTACTCACAGAAGTATTAAAATGGGGGAGCTATATAATTAAGATCCCTATATCTAACTAGGGTTAGAATAATTAATAAAATATTGTCATTACAATAAAAAAAATGTGGGATGTGACTAATGCCTGAGACCAAGAGGTTATGCAGTATGAAAATCATACCATGTATATGAAATGGGAAGCAGTATTCACTGCCCTCTAAATAACATGTCATTAATGTATATAATGCTACTACCTATAATAGTTTAAAGAGATCTTGGATTTATTTTTCTATAAACTGACAGTTTGTACAATTTCACTGCTACTCTCTCCTAAAATACCAGCATTATTATTATTTCTATTAAGAGTTCATGTCATGAGCTTGCTGGGTTATCTAGCTTGCAACCAAATGTTTGTGGATAAAATATATAGTAGTGTGTCCTAGATTGGACGCAGAAAAAGGAGCACCTCTCACAGCTAATGATCAATCAAAGAGGAAACACAGGTCCCATAACAATGACAACAACCGGGCTTAACATATCATAAAGAGGGCCAGCAGTATGGTTTGTTGACATTCCTGTGATAAGCGTAGTAGGTGAAGACTAGATTTTTAAAACCTTATTTGAGCAGAGAGATGCAAGTGTGGTGCAAGGTGGGGGGGGGGGGTGGGGGGGGGGGGGGGGGGGTTGGTGGGGGGGGGGGGGGGGAGAGAAGAGATGTGCCTACATTACTTCACATGAGGTTGTTATTAAGGTGGATCAGGGGGCTCAGTTTTAAATAGTTCTTTCAACTCATTTTCAAAGAGTGGAGCCTTATTCAACGACCAGAAAACATATGGTGAATGTTTATATTTGCAATACTTCTTTGGGAAATAAGGTTTATATCCAACATGTGACAACGGGGTAGCTAGAAAACGCTTACTGTCTACATAAAGCCTAGTGGGACACGTTAATGTGGCACGACAGTGTGATAACTATCATCTACCTTCAACCAAACACCCTCTGTGGGAGGAAAATCTTAGTGTTATTTCAGTCCCTTTGCTTTATTTCTTTTCCCAAATAAGCTTTAGCTGTTATTGTTGAATTTTTTCTTATATATCTTTTTATGTAAAGCCTCACTAAACAGGGAGCCCTATTCCCTGTGCCCCTACACAACGGCTAATTGTACAGTAGAAGAAAAGACGGGACACTAATGTTACCACTGTAACTCCAATCAGATAACAGCAGCAGTCCTTGAAAAT